AAAAAAAAAAAAAAAAAAAAAAAAAAAAAAAAAAAAAAAAAAACTTTTTTTTTCCATTGGTAATAGTTTATGGAGACCCAAAAGTTATTAATGTCACTGTTGGACACTGGTGAATTTTCTTTATGATTAAGGAGGAAATTGAATGCTTTAGTGCTCTCCTTTCAGTTAAGTGCCAGGCACTAGACAAGTTTTACTGTTGATACTTAGTGGTGTAGGGATATATATTCATAACACTTCAGGGCTTTGTGATACTTAATATATAGAAATGTGGTTCATCAATACCTAACTTAAAATGAGGCTGAAATATTTAATGGGTACAATAGGCGTCTTCTTACTCAACCATTGACCATTCCTAGAAATCTAGCAACCCCTAAGAAATTCTGCTGATTTGGTCAGAAAGTTGTACTAACCAAGACGGCTGCATCAAGTATCGAATATGTGACAAACAGAAGCACAGTGCTTGAATCTGCTATTTTATTTAAAACATTACCTGTTCCTTTATTTTCTGGGGTGGAAGTGTTATGGTTTTATCTAGAATATATCCCCAAAAGTCTCAAGTGCTCAAAAGTATGGTTTTTTTGTTTTGTTTTGTTTGGAAGGTCCTGAGGGCTATACTCATGGGTGCATTGATATGTTGATGAGTTCATTGTTGAATGTGTTGTTAGAGGTGGGTCCTGGTCAGAGGTGGCAGAGGTTGTGTGATCTGGAAGGGTGTCATCTCCCTGGATTCTCCCATCTATGCTTGCAAGCTGCCAGGTAGCTAATGGTTCTCCTCCACCATGGCAGTTCTGCTTGGAATCAGCTGACTGTGGACTGAGACTAGTGAAACTGTGAGCCACAATTCACTTCTTCAAGTTGTGGGTGTCATGGTCCCAGTAACTGTAAAGTCAGATAATTGGTCCTGAGAGTGAATCTACTGCTTCACTCTACATGGCTATTTGGTTCAGAAGCCTTGGAGCTGGTTTGCAGTAGGAGTTTGGAAAGTTTTGGAGATGCAGGCTAGTGAAGCCCTTAGTGATGGAGTTTGCAGTGATACAAATGACCCACTGTGGCATCTGTGTAGCTAAATGTGTTCTTAAGAGATGCAGCCTGGTCAGAGGAGGCAGGTCACTGTGGGGTGTGGCCTGGAAAGGTGTACTCCTGTCCTCTGTTCTTCCCTTCTCTCTCTGTTTGCTACCTGCCCTGCAGGGAGCAGTTTTCCTCTACCATGGCATTCCTGCCCTGGAGCTAGTTGACCATGGGCTGAACCCACTGAAACTGCAAACCAAAATAAACCTCTCCTCTAGGATGGAGGTGTTGGGTATTTTGTCCCAGTGATAAAAAGTGACCAATACAGGAAAAAGAGTAAGAATCCTGGAAGTGCTGATAATATAAGGATGACAACAATGATGTCCTGGCTTTTTCATTTAAATTGCCATCTTAACCCTAATCTAATTTGAAGCCCCTGTAGTAATGTATAAGTGGCTGTTCATTGCAAAATAATCCTTGGGATGTTTCTATTTCCTTTGGATACTAATAATGAACTTATACCTTTTGGAAATCAAACCTAGGAATAAAACCCTGTACTAACTATTTAGTTCTCAATCACTGTAACACATACCTGAGATAGATAACTTTGAAAAGAAGAAAGGTTTATTCTGGCTCATTGTTTCAGAAGTTTCAGACCAGACCGTGTTGCTTTGGGCCTGGGGCAGCACAGTATATCATGATAGATGCACCTGTTTACTTCATGGGGTCTAGGAAACAGAGGAAAGGGGTAGGGTTCCCTCATCTCCTTCAAAGGCACACCTAAGTGACCTAACTTCCTCTCACTAAGCCCCACCTCTCAAAAACTTCTCCTACCTCAAAGCCAGCACCACAGGCTGAGTACAGAGTCTGCAATACATGGGCCTTTAGAGATAATCAAGAGCCAAGCTATAGCAAGCCCCCAACAGAAAGTTTTTGGCTACTCAGTACAGAGACTTCAACAAATTTGTCTATCTACAACACAGAAATTTTACTATCTTCTTCTCCCTTGTGCCCCTCTTCACTGCCACCAAGGCTGTTTGTTCTTAGACTGAGCCTCATACTAGCCCCTCATGCATCTGTGTGGTCCTTCCATCCTGCTGAATGAGTAGGCAGATCTGGACTTGTCTCTTCTTGAGACCTCCCTCCTGAGCAGCTGAGTCATCCCTTTTGCAAGATTCTTTGCTGTATTTATTCTCCCTACTCTAAAATGCTTTTTAAAAGCTTTTTTCTACTTCTTCTGGGACCTATCTTAATCCTCCCCCGCCATTCGCCCTCTACCTGATTTCACATTCTCTTTGGACATGTGGTACAAGCTTTAGAAATTTACACACATGCTGCAGATTACCAAAGATTAAGGAACTCCACAATAAAATCTAGATAAGAAAAGCTTTTGGTAGTCAGCCCATCAAGTAGATTCTTACAATTCACTAGGCATAGGAACAAAATGGTTTGTATGGGTGGTTGAACAAGGCTGAAATTCCTCAATTCCACTGTCTGAAGTCCTAAAGAGCAGAACAGGGAGATTAGGAAGAGTGCCTGCTGGAGGGAAGAGAAGTTGAGTTTCCCTTTTTGTGTAAAGCCCTACTGTAGTTCTTGCCCATAGAGCAATTCTGACTCATTAAATGGGTAAAGTCAAGGGAAGTAAGTGGTACCCAGAAACACCTGTTTTGAGGTCCGATCCTATCTGTCCTTTTCTTTCTAGGTACTTGGAAGTTCTGGTAAAACATACACTTGTTTGGCTTCTTGTCATTTCTGCTCATGTCCTGCATTTGCCTTCTCAGTGCTACGGAAGAGTGACAGCCTACTGGTAAGGACAGGCAAAGCTCTTGTCAGAATAGTCAGATTAGGAGAGAGACTATTATCCCATATTTCATGGTTTAAGCCTTACACAAAATGGTAATTTTTACTGCATGTTGAAACGAACAGTAATTTATTGTCCTTGTCTTTAGTCATCACTTCTGGGTGTACCTTCCCAAAATGCAGTGTCATTTTTAGAACATCATTTTTCTTTCTTATTTCAAAGACAATGGTTGTAGCTTAGGGGAGATCAGCAGGGTATTCTGGAGGTTGGTACTGGGGGATTAAGTGAATTAAAAATATAAACTAAATTGAATGTTAGTAACCTCACCTGTCTCCAGTTCTAGTCATGAGGTACATCTTCCCACAACCCATAGGACAGCCTGACACCATACTCAGTCTTCGCATTAGGCAAGACCACCTTTTTCTATCCCCGCCAGGCTTTGCCAGTTTTATCACTCCTGAGCATCGAGCAAGGACATACTCATACAATCCTTATTCTGGTGGGAAAGGCACTGCCCTCCTCAGACAACTTCATCATCTTAAGCCTTGCCAAAGGCATTTTACACTGTTAACTTCTTAAACACTTGGGAACTAGGTGCCGGTTGGGTGACTCATTAATAGGAGGTCATATTCATAGCTGGTGTCCCATAAATGTATTTCACCTATAAAATGACAAGATGGACCTGGGACCCCTTCAAGATTGAAAGCATGCTCTGACATGAAGACCAACAAAGTCACCTTCCCAGAGTTGTGTATAGGTCAGTACATGTGAAAGCTCTGCCACCACTCCTGCCCTCCTACCTTCACCCTGGAAGTATAAGGGAAGTTGACTGGGCTCTGAGCATACCGTTAAAATGGGATTGTTCCCTGTCCTTACGGGGTGGCTGTCTCATTTAATGAGAGAGTCCGAGAAGCACTGAGCAGGGTAGACCCGAGGGAGTGTTAGCTATGGCCATGATAGCTTTCTGGGGGCAAGGAAGAAGCTGACTGGACCCACAGTAGACTTCTGGTTTCATGATGGTAGTGAGAGAACCTGGTTAGACTGGCTGAGTTTAGCCCTGCCTGTCCCTAACAGGTTTGTATGTTTTATATTCCAGTGCAAGCACCTCTTGGCAGTATATCTTAGTCAGGTTATGAGGACCTGTCAGCAGCTAAGTGTTTCTGACAAGCAGCTGACTGACATATTGATGGAGAAGAAATAAGCATCGAAGGTACAGATGTTACTTCATTATCTTTCAAAATAGAAATCTCATCAAGAAATACACATAACAGGGCATGGTTCACAAGGAAGAAAGACGAAATGGATCTTGCAGATACTTCTTGCTACTATTTTTCCTTCTGGAGTGCTGGTGGGACCTTAGGTGGCATCTGTGGAATGTGGAGGCTATGCCTTTGGAAGCCTTGTGTAGCCTTCTCATGAAAAACCTGAACCAGCCTCTAAGCCTTCTGGATGAAAAATGCCTCTGAGTAGAATAGAGCATGGTAGAGTCAAATAAAACCTAATCCACATTGTTTACACAATTAAGATTCTTATGTGACTGAATTACTACTAATTTTTAAAAGATTAGGACAGCTGAATGAAATGAACAAGCATAATTTTAGACGACTAGATATTGGGTCTTTTCTTTGGGTCCATAAAATTTTTCAGCAGCAATATTAGGGCAGAGATATAACTGAACATCCCAAGGATTAAGACTCAGGGGTTCTGGTGCAGTAAGCTTTAGATGCTGTGGTGGTAGTGCCAAATTAGCCTAAGTAGGTTGTTGATAGGAAGTATCTAGACCCAGGGCAAAACTAAGTGTGCTCTGTGCCCATTTCTCAGCTTCTTAACAGTAAAACTACAGGAAAAAACTAAAAATCATGTCCTAGAACAAAGCTACAGATGTTATGGATTTTTAGTCTAAAGAATAGGCTCTGTGTGTGCGTGTGTGTGTGTGTGTGTAGAAATAAAAGAATTGCATACCAGATTTAAAAAAAAAGACTAGACAAAGTAGATTTTTAAGGGGAGAGAGAAGAGACTCAGGCCCTAAGATAGAGCTAAGGAGCAACAATAAGATAAAGATGAAAATGAGAAATTTTCAGCCTGGGGCAAGACTTTCTTAATAGGTAAAGCTGTGCATGGCCAGAAGAGAATCTTAGGGGACAGGAATTCCCGGCTCTTGAGGGGTTAATGAACCTGCGATGTCCTTGCAGGAACTGAAGCAGTGGGCAGATTAAATACCTGTTATCTGATTCCCCCATCCTTGTGCACAAACACGAGATGTTAATGAACAAATGCTGTGTGAAGAGCTCAAGGCTGCGCTTGTCACAGTGTTTTGTGGTTGGCAGAGCCTTGTATTATGTTGAGGTGTAGAAACAAAAATTTATCAAGACTTTTCTGCCACTTGAGGAACTTAGAATAAGTATAAACTTATTTTTTTCAGCAACCTTTAGGGTAATGTGTATTGTCTAGACAGTAGATGCAGGAGTGTATAACATGCCAGCACAGAACCCTAATCTTGTTTTGTTTTGTTTTGTTTTAATTTTTTTTTAAATTTATTTCACGGAATATACAGAGTTTTATAATTTTGCTTAGTAAAATTTTCACACTTTGGGTTCCAACAATTTCACCAAAGTTTAACTTGGGAGAGAAACACAATTCAATACATAGCTCTAGAAAGGAGAATCTGGTAAGGAGAGATCGCATTATTCCACTTTCTTCCTCTGTAGTAGTGTTTTGTATAATGGAAAAGAACAGAGCCTACAATTGTTACTTGATGATAATTCTACTTAAGAACTTAAGAGAATACCATTCCCTAAATATGGCAATTTCTTGTTGGAAGTCTAATACTTTTAGTATTCTTGATTACCCTCCTGAAAACAAATACAGATTAGAGCAGCCAATTTTTATTTTTCCTCTGCCTCTATGTTAAAAAATATTAGCAATAGTTCACAGTATTTCACAGTAAATAGTTTGAGTCATTTTCGACCATGCATGAGGCAGACTCTTCCATTCAAGCTGTCAGCATCATCCATATACTAAAAGCAGGCAAATCGGACCATAAATACATTTATCAATCCTTGGAGCCTACTAATAGCACGCACATATCAGCTAGACACATGGTAACTTCAGGCAAGTACTCAAAAGAGGCAGCCATATGCTTGGGCTGTGGCTATTTTTCACAGTGAGAATCAGCCAGTCGTATCCTGTCCCATTGTTTATTTTGGGTCTATGCCTTCTCTCCCAGAGGCCAGAGCCTAGGTCATAATCCCACGTTGAACGCAGGCTGTGTTCCAGCCTGCCCATTCCCACTCTTCATATCTGTCTGGCAGAGAACATACCTGGAAATGATTTTGTGAAAAGTATAGCGGAAATCTCGGTTCCGGTAGGCATAGACAATGGGGTTGACAACTGAATTGGCATGTGACAAGAGAATGGCTGTGTTCATTGCCCACTTGGGCTTGTCCTTAGCTAGAGCTGGCTGAAAAAGAGTGACACAGTTGATAGCATGTACTGGTAGCCAGCATAGAGCAAAAATCCCCATGATCATAGCCAGTGACTTGGCTGCGTGGATCTCCCGCTGGAGGGTGGTCCTTGAGTGGTGCATCAGCTCAGTGCGCTGAAGCTGCTTGCAGGCTACCATGAAGATCTTGATATAGATCACCAGCATTATGATGAGTGGGGGCAGCACACACCCAAAGAAATTGAAATATACCATGTAGCTCATAGGGACCACATTCTCAAATAGACATTTCACAAGGCAGCAGCTTTCATTTGTGACTCCATCCCGAAGCTCTGTGCAGTTGTTGGTGGCACTGCCTTTACTGTTCCACCCCAGGAATGGGGTCAATCCAATGCCAAAGGAAAGGACCCACAGGACAGCAATGACCCCTCGTGCTCGGCTCCCAGTGACCAAACTTTTATACCTGTTCAAAAGAACATCACTTGTTAGAGTCAGTTTACAGTATTCTGCAGCTAAAGCCCAGGAGCCCATTTCTACTTCTGTTCTGCCCTAACATCCTCTAAGGCTCACCCTCCAGGGTACCATGACATCATCACCTCAACACTAGAGACATGGGGTAAGCAACTTTGCTCTAACAAGCTCAGTAAAGTTTTCACTCTTAGGTAACACATTTCTGTTTAGTGACAAAGACAGCAACAAGAGGTCAGATGTTATGGTTTGGGTCTAGATGTACCCCACAAAGGCCCATGGTGGGCTTTTTCAGAGGCAGCTGAATCTAAAGTGTGTGACTGATTCATGGTGCAATGCTAGGATTAAGGCTGTGTGATTACTAAACTGTTTCTCTTCTGTGATGGCACCTGCTTTGGAGCCAGCCCGACTGAAACCTCTACAAACTGTGAGATAAATAAATAAACCTTGCCTCCTTTAACTTTGGATGTGCAGTATTTTGTCTCAGCAACGAGAAAAGTAACTAAGACAGATGTCTTAAATGGGTATTTGCTAACTATCTCCATACTGACCTTTGAGTCTAGGCCTTCTGTGAGGTGCTATTCTAGCCAGTGAACAGAACAAACCAAAATCCCTGTTAAACGCTAAGGGACCTACATGCTAGTGGGGGGAGGGATATAATTAACAGACATCAATAACAATGGAGATGCATGTAGTATGGAAAAGAAAGTAAAAGAAGATCAGGACTGCCAGGCATCATTAAGAAATCAGTCAAGAGAAGCTTCATTGATAAAATGACATTTGAACATAGGCCTGATGAAATGATCTTCAGAGCACCTGGAACCAGGCAGCACACTTCTGTGGCTCTGGGCAAGAATCCTCTTCTTCCACAAAAAAACTGCCCAGTATGGGCAGAATCGTTTCTGAATGTCTCTACAAACTTCAGGGGAACAAAAGTGCTGACAATGAGTCTGTCTATAGGGAACTGCTAATAGCACAGTTAATAAAATTGGGATATAGATATTAAGTGGCTCATAATACGTAATGTGTAAGTCAGTATATTCAATGTAATGTATTACATAATGAAATAAAATCAGTAACCTCTAGCAGAAAAACTACACAATACCCTGATTAACAGTACTTCAGTTATCTGTAGAAAGTGTTCACTTTCCTTTGCCTGTAGTGTGAAGTGTAAAATTCTCAGATTGGCCTACAGAATCCTCCAGACCTCAGTGCCACATACACAGTGCTTGTCTTTCCTAATGATGGCTCCCTTCTAGGTCATGGCTCCCCTTAACTCAACCTCAGCCAAAACACGTGTTCCTTTTCCGAGGGATACCTCGTAGGCACAGCATACTCTAAACATACACTGTCATAAAGCCTAACCCTAACTGGAATGCCAGCCTCCTGAAGACTGGGGCCATGTCCCTTTGTACCAGTATCCCCAAGCTCTAGCACAGTGCCTGGTACATACGGGTTTCTTAATAATGTGGCCACTATAGATACATTCCTCACTTGTTACCTGACTTACCAAATAGCTTTAAAGCAAGACTTCATTTACTTTACCAGGAGTACTTGATGCTGTGATCCTGACAGGCAAGAGAACTGCTACAGCTTGTTAAGGTTTTGCCTCATAATTTACAAGACCTGCAATCTTTTCTGCTTCCCATGGGGGCATCTCTGAACAATAGGAAACTCAGTTGGGGGCCTGCTGGGCTCAGTTGCTCACTGAATTTTTCTTGACCAATAAATCCATCTATTTCCAAACATATTTTGCTTCCCTCATTTGGGAATGTAAAGCTTTTCTTTAAAAAAGAAAAAAAAAGCTTTTCCTTACCACTGCCTCACTAGAGAAATGAATAACAATTAGTCCTGGAGAATAACAAGGAAGCAAGCTAACAAGCACTTGGAACCCAGATCTATGAGGCAGCCTACTTCCCCGTCCTGCCCTTCACAGGACTCCACTGAGGTGAGTACAGCTGATTACAGGTCAGCCCTAGTGGACAGATTCTATTTGGGGCAAGTAAGTCATGGTGCTTCTGTTCTCTCGCTGGTCTTGAGTGGACAGTAAGATGGTTCTGACCAGCAAACAAAACCTAAAAAGAAGATGTCAGGCGACCTCAAGGAAAGATTGTAGCTTTGTCCTCATGCCCATCCCTTTCTGCCTGTGATGCCCAGAACTTTAGTGGCCATCTTGTGACCATGAAGAAGCCTGAAAATACAGCTAGTGGCAAAGCAGAAGGAAAAAGGAGCTCCGGCCCTTGATGACATCTTTGAACACCCAGCACAATCCTAGAACCATCAGGGCTCCATATACATGTTCCAGAGACGAATATCCTGACTTCTTACACAACTGTAAGGTATTCTGTTACCTGCAGCCTGAAGCATACATTGTGGAGGGGATTTTCATCTCTAGTCCAGCTCCCCTTATTTCACAAATGAAAAAATAGAGATTCAAAGTCTTACAATGTAATAAGTCTTTACAAACCAAAGATCAGGCTAAGTCAGGACTCCCAAGTCTGTGTTCCTCTCACTGTATCGTAAGGCCTTTTATTTTACTTTTTAAAAGGGGGGGGGGTATTAGATACAGAGCAACCTGTACAGTTCATGGAGGTAGTTTCCCACTACATCTATGGGAGGAATCTGTCTACATCTAACTGTTTCAAAACTGCTGCATCCTGCACATGAAGGCAACTCTTTTTATGGCAAACTATCTTATATAAGGAAAGAAAAAAGCTGATCCCATGAGAGGGACAGCTGGCCACAGCTCTCTCTGTGGACTCCCATTACCACCTCTGTTGGTTCGTTATTTCAGAGTTCATCCCTTGTACCACATTCTGTGAGGTACTGGAAACTCAATCCCTGCCCTCAGAATACAAGCTAGTGGAAGAGGCAAAATAAACTAGTAAACATACAAATGTTTCACTCTGAATTGGGCTGTGTTCGGCCATACCAGAATGAGTAGAATGCAGGGATAGAAAGCCAAGGAGGACTTTGCTATATACTGATAGGGAAGGCCTCTCATGTAGAAAGCTAATGGATGAGAAGAGAAAATTTTGCACAAACATTCCAGGTAGAACAGTGCATACCCCAGTTTCAGAAGGAAAGAACATTTCTGAAAGCAAAGGAAACATGAATTAGCCTAGATGAGGCAGGAGCCAGTTTATAGAAAATGGGAGCCATTGGAGGCTCATAAGTAAAAGGAATGGCACCAGTTTTTGTTGTCTAAAACTCACCTGGCCACAGTATAAAGACGACCTTAAAGGAGCAAGAAGAAAAACAGAGGTCAATTAGGAAATTATTTCAGTAGTTAAATCAAGAAAAAATGTTGCCTTGGACCAGAGTGACAGCCAAGATGATGAAAGTGGGTAAGCACTTTGGAGAGAGAACCAATAGGTCTTGAAGAAGGAGTGGATGTAGAAAGATTAAAAATCAAGGATTAATTAATCCTAAAGGTTTTTCCTCCCAGTGTGTTAAATTTTACAGAAATGGTATTAAGAGAAGGGTGGGTTACAAGGCAATGAAGGTTAAGAGAATGGTGTTATGAAGCTGATGAAAATTATCTGTAGAGAGAATATATGCAGAAAGAAAGAAGGTGATGAAAAGCTAAGACTGAGGAGGCTGGAGGATGCAGGGTCCAAGGCACGTGTGGAGGGACACTAATTGCCTCAGCTGTGGGAGAAGGAAGGTTAAAAGGGCCAATGCATGGAGGGCAGAGGTTGCATGGTGACAAACAGCCCTCAAAGAGATGCAGCAACCTCAGTGAAGAATGAGGAAAGTCATCAGCTGAGGTAAAGAAAGGAGGCTGAGATGTGAGGGTTGTGGTCTCAGAATGGGAGAGTGAGGCTGCTAGACAAATGAGGTAGGATGGTGAATACTCTGGAAAGGGGTGTGAAAAGGAACAAAAGAGCTGAAAGCCCCACGCCTACCTGAGGCCCAGGCACGAAGTGGCAAGAAGAAGCAGTGTCCTTGGGGGAAGCAACAGGTCTCAGCAGGCGCCAGCTAGTGGAAGGAGCTTCCCAAAAGAGGGGGACACACACGGACTTGGTGATGGTCAGAGCAGTGCTTGGGAAGGAGTGGTGGGATGTAAGTCCAGTTAGCCAGGAGAACAGAGAGCACTGGGGGATTGAAAATTATAGTTATGTAAAGCTAAAGTTTACAACCCATGTCTCCATTTTCATCTTTAATAAGCCAAAGAAACCTAAAACTTGAAAGGAAAAAAATTGATTCATTACCCATTTCTCCATCTAAATCTTACCTCATTTCCTAATTCCTAATTTCTTGCTAACTGCCAGATAACTTTGCATGATAACCTCTGAACCACACAACAAGATGCCAAGTTTTGGGAACAAATGCCTGTAGACCCCTCCCCCAACTACCCCAAACCATCGATAGCACACAGCCGTCAGTACATATGCCCCTGCCCTTCAAGCAGTTTGCTATAGACCTTACCGTGCCTCAAGGGGTGAGAGCTGCTATTCCCAGTTTACAGATGTGGAAACCATGACTCAGAGAGATTAAATGATTTATTTGCTGCCACTAAATAAGAGCAACAAACCCAATCTAACCTGATTCTGATTATTCTGAAAGCGGTCATTTTCAGGCTCATCTCTCAAAGCCCAGTTCCCCCTCTCCCTGGTCACCAGGCATGGTCAGCTGCTTCACTTTCCTCCCCAAGACAGATCTGCCCTTGGCAAAGCTGCTTTTGGGTTCCCGGAATCCCCCATTCTGCGAGAAGCACATGGGAACTGGAGCTTGCAGGAAGCAGCCTCTGCTACCCTGTTGAGAACCTGTCCCTTAGCAGCAGAGACAGACGTCCACTCATCTTTATTCTACTGGAGCACACCGGGGCACCTCCCCCTAGGGCGGAAAACACACTAGCTGGGTGCTGGTAGGATACCGCGGGCTTCCATGGGACCAACATGCCTTGAGCTGGACACAGAGAAGACGAGGATGCTGTAGAAAGCAGGCAACTGTTGCTGCACTGCACAGGATACTAGGAGGGCCGACCCTCGC